GGTTAACGGGTGAGACGGAGACCGCCAGGGGGGCAGGGCTGAGCGCATCCAGCCCCCGGCACGTGGAGGCTCCCCCGGCACTGGGCAGTGGAGCTGGTGGTAAAGTGCCTAATGCCGCCCGGTCCGTGCCCCGGGCAGGCCTGGAATGTGGTTGCAGGCGAATGTGGGGCCTGCCCAGCCGGGGGCTCGGGCTGGTCCCTGCCTCCTCGCCCAGCGACCAGGGCAGGGCCCAAGCCCCGGCTGCATTGTGCCGGCACCACGGGGCAGGCGGGAGGGAGGGGGCTAGCCCCCAAGCCAGGTGGGAGAGGGGCTGAGGGGCTCAGACCAGCCCTCTGATAGCTCCGGGTGCCCAGGGAGGCCACGCTCGTGCCCTGGGGCACCGCCCCTGCATGGGGAAACTGAGGCACAGAGCAGCCAGTCACTCACCTGAGGCGCAGCCCAGGCTAGGGGGCACGGGAGGCCTGGCCAGGCCCAGCTCCGAGCACCGGGCACCGAAGCAGAGGAAGACGGCAGGAGGGGGCCAGGGCATCCGGGCGCGTTGTGCGGAGGCAGTGAACCGGGCGTCCCGGCCCGGCGGGACGGGGGCAGGAGGGCCGCAGCTTTCCACGGCCCCCAGCACCTGCAGGGATGGAGCAGAGCCACCGGGTCTGGGTCCTCTGCCAGGGGCATGGGCAGGTGGGCAGGGCGGGCACTGTGCTGCCGAGTCCTCCGCGGGTGCGGAAAAGAGGGTGGAGCCGCCGGCAGGGGCAGGGCCCGGATCCGTGCATGCCCCCGGCTGGGGCCAGGCCCTGCAGTGTCCGAGCGCCCCAAGACCGGGGCAGGGCCAGGCGCGGGGGCGGTGGCCGGGGTCCAGGCGCGGGCGCGATGCCTGGGCTCCAGCGACGCTATCCACGGGCCGGGCGCGGGGGCGGCTTGCCAATGTCCACCGTGACGTTGGTGTAGAGCGGGTGGCGCGACACCTCCACCAGCCGGTACTGCAGCGAGCTGATGCCGTCCCGGCGCATCGTCAGCTTCGTGTTCTGGATCTTGGTGAACCTGCCGGGCACGGGCGTGGGCATGGCGCCATGTCAGGGGCACGAGGGGCCTGGGCCAGGCACCTGCTCCCTTCCCCCAGGGACAGGGCAGCACCGGGAGCCCCAAGCCCTGAGCCAGCTGGGGGAGCAGGCAAGGGGACCCAGGGGTCGGGGTGTCCAGCCCCACGTCCCAGGGCCTGCCCAGGGCAGAGCGAGCAGAGCTGGGGGTGGCTCCAGGCAGTGACAAAGTCCAGGATGGGGGGAAAGGGTCTCACCTCTGGGGGTTGGGCTCGTTGTGCCGGTCGCGCTCGTGCTTGATCATGCGGTAGCGCCCGATGCGCACGTCGGGCCGCGACACTTTCATGCCATTCAGCGAGATCCTGCGGGAGCAGAAGCAGCTCAGGGGGGCACTGGGACCAGCTCCACCCCAACCAGCCCCGCTGCTGCAAGTCCCTGTCCCTGCCCCAGGCTCAGCCCCACTGGGGCAATACGACACGCAAGTGCAGGATGCCGGGGCCTGAGCCCAGCAGCCCATGGGGCCCCCCGGCTCTGCACGCGGCAACTCCCCACCACCCGCCCTGGGGGAAGGAGCTGGGAGCAGGTGCGGGGGGCGGGGGGCGGCTGGGGCCATCTCACCGGTTGAAGATGTCGTCGTCTTCACCGCCCCAGCCCCAGTACTCGTTGGGGAAGCCGTTGATCTTCAGGAACTGGGACTTGCTGAGGCCGGAGACGCCCCCGAAGTAGCCGGCGTAGGGCAGCCTGCAGGTGGGCGGTGGGCACGGCTCACCTGGGCAGCCTCTGCACCTTGCCTGGGGCAGCAGCACCCCCAGCCAGCCCAGGGGCACCTGCACCCCTCCCAGAGCCCCACAGAGACTCGTAGGAAATGGGGGTTGGGAGGGAGCTCAGGAGTCACGTCTAGTCCAACCCCCTGCTCCAAGCAGGACCAGCCCCAACTACATCATCCCAGC